TGTAGATTTTTCCGACACCAATTATATTCCACAGCAATCCTGCTCCAATTTTGTTTATGGTTTCGGGTTTTTGTTCCAATTCCAAACTTACGTTACTATACTTCAGTTATACTTGCTTCCTCTTAAGACATTGTTGTGCAATCTAAACACTACACAACGTAACGCGACAACTGCAGTTGACCGACTATAAATTAACAGAATCATTCACTTCTGCGCACTAAAATCATGTGCGGGTCCGGATAATCCAGGAGTATCGGGACTATTGTGACATTACCGCGTTCGAATTAGCATGCATGTGTTTGGAGTAAAGAGATTGCACCGAATCTAAATACTTTAATTTTTCCGAGCTCGAGCTTAATTCTAAAATAAGTCGTCAAAAATTGACCCTTTTAGCCCAGACGAACCAAATTTAGTTGAATTCTAAGGCGCGGAAAAGCAAGGCATAACTGAAGTACATACACCCGCTCTTTGTGATTTTTTAGCGCATTTTTTAAGAATTAAAAAAATGTGCTATTGTTTGCGTTTTGTCCGTCCGTTCGGACCCACTTCTACCGTTTTGAACTACTTCTAGGGGAATGGTCCTAGAGTCCTGGAATTTTTTCCAGTAGGTAGCCTATGCCTTGAAGGTGTACCAGACAGCTATCAAATTTCGCTGTCTAAAAGGCCCCCCCCCCCACGGAAATTTCCTGAGATGCTGTTTTTGAAAGTAAAACGTGCATAACTTTTACATACGACAACCAATTGGTCGCAGATTTTGCATACGCATGCCTTTAGTGATGCCAAGTTACACTTTAGAAATCTACCCTTCATGCTATTCTAATGAAAGGTCTCATCGAAATGAATTGGTTTCTACAAACTATAACTTTCCCGTGCGACTCTTGTTCGAGATCAGTGAGCGACGAGGCCTGAGGGGGGAGGGGAGGGGATTAAAAATTAATTTTATCTCTGATTGTATTCTAATTAAAGGTCTCAACAAAAGGAACAGTTTTCTACAAACTACTACCCTTCTTTCTGTCCTCTTATCAAAGTACGGGGTAGAGGGGAGAAGGGGGGCGGAGTGGAACTTGTTTTATCCTTCATGGTACTCTAATGAAAGGTCTAAATGAAAGGAATTAATTTATACTAACCATAGTCTTCCTCCTCGAATATTTATGGAGGACTTTAAATGAAATTTGATACATAGCCACTTGGAATAAAAGCAATGTAGCACCATTTTCCAAATTTGCTTTTGCGCATGCGCAGTGCCAACTTTCTTATTTATGGAGGCATTAAAAAAAATTTGATACATAGCCCCTTGGAATAAAAGCAAATGTAGCGCCATTTTCCAAATTTGGTTTTGTGTAGGATGTGCAGTGCCAACTTTCTTATTTACGGAAGAAATTTCGTAGGGGTGTTTTAAAAGAATGCGCTTTACCTGCACAAGGGTTGTGCACAATTTGTACTTGTTTAATCCTAATAGCCAATTTCACTGTTGGACGCAAATAATAACAAACATAATAATAAACTATTACAACTTGATATGATATGAAGATTAACAATTTTGCGTAGCGTGTTTATTATATCATACAAGGAAACAATTTCGCATGGAACAAACAAAATATAAATAAATTACTGAGAACTGTTTGCTTAATCTTGCCCTCAATTGATACAGAAATTTATAACATCTATAATGACGTAGACGGCAGACAAATTCAATTTAATAAATAGTATACATACTAGTTTACTTATTGTGCTATTGACATAATTTTATCATTATTTACTTTTCGCATAGCTACCCATATAACAATAAAGTTTACAGACGATACTTTCATACTGCAAAACTATAACACAAATTACGATTAGCGAATGTTAAGCTTATCTAACACATGGTCGGCGATTGAACGACGTAAAAATTCATGTTTGGGTAGAATTAGAGGACACGGGACAATGAATGAACATACGCATTCATTGATCGCCAAAAATATTGCACAAACATTCATTGCAGTAAGCTTGCCCATTAATAAATTAAAATATACTATAATTCAGTATGAATGATTATTTTTGTTGTCGAGCTCTTATACAAAGTTGTATTGTAAGTAAACGTGTGGGTTCAATTTTATTACGTTTCGTGTCATTAGAAAGTTTCAACATTTCAAGTAATACGTCTGTCCAAGTAGGATGTTTTCATTTAACGAGATTGTGTAATCATTTTCACCACGATTAGTATATACCGGGTGTCAACTGCAATTAGTATTGTCTCAGGGTAATTACTGTGTAATGTTTCAATCGAATGTGAATGTATGTTCATGGAAAAGCAATGGTCTTCGGTTTGCAAAAGTATAAATACCGTACCGGACGCTATGGTGTGCATTAGACACCAATAACAAAACAATCTAATTGTCCAGAACTTTAAATTCTATCATTAATTTCATTGATTGCGTCATATTGCACCGTAAACTATCATATTGCTAATTTTCTAACAACGTATCATAGAGGTTCAAGGTGATGGTACGCCATTGTTCGGCTCGATGTAATTAAGAGCAGCTAAAAAAAAGCCCATTACTTCTGCAATAAAAGAGCGTTAATGGGGATATCTCAAAAATTGAAGGGAACTAAATAATTAATTATTTATCCGTAACTCGAATGGCGAGCGCTAAAGCGTCTGAATACTTCTGTTTTTTTCTTCCTTACCTATTAATGACCAGTAGAATTGTAGCTATTTTTACAATACAGTCTTGGTATGTAGAGAGAAATTCAAAGAAATAAACCGGCTCACTCAAGTTCCCAGACTGTGAGTAATTTTCTTATGGCGAATTAATGTGGTAAATTATTGTTGTTGGTTTTTGTTATTATGACGAAAAGGAGTTACAGTATAATAGTAGATAAACATAATACAAAATGTAAAAGCAAAATTATACCGAAACTTTTAGCAAGATAAATTTAAATATACACAATTAGAACTGTATTGCCATTTAATACCTATAGTATTAAATGGTGCTGTTATATGAGTCACTATTGCGCTGCATTTCGTTTACATACCTACTAAAAGGCCTAAAAGCATTAATTTAATCCATTTTCATGGGACAATCCTAGTTATACTATTTTAATTCCTGAAGGTAGTCGATGTAGCCGTGAGAGATATTTTGCATAATTATTCTACAATTGCATTTAAATAATTATCACTCATGATATCGAATTAAATGGTTTTCTTCTTTATTTGCATTTCGTACAACTGGATCAAAATTTAGTCAACTTGTGTCTTAAGTTAATAGAAGGGAAAAATCCCATTATCAATTATCACTATGAAAATAAATTGCCATCCGTAGGCTAAGATTATGCTTTTAAGAAAAAGTTCGTGGGCGACTGCAGGCATTATTTTAACAACACTTCTAGGTGTTTTTAAAATGATGTTTAAATTATGATTTAATCTGTGATTTAAGTTGTCATTTTAATCTATGACTAAATATGTGTGTGTATTGTAAATGAGAGTCATTTCCAAAATTTTAATTACGTAATAACCTAATTATCCTACCTTTTCTTAATTTCCCTTGCCTCTGTGGTACTTCAAATAAAAGACCTGGTAGACAACGATCACTAAAATTTTAAATTAAAATCCTACAAGACACAACGTAACATCTAGTGTCCTAACACTATCATCTAGGAAGTTTGAGTTTAGTCTAGGAGAAGGCGAGTGAATTTACCCGAAGTCTCACCGCAATACTCAGAGAGAGAAAGTGATAGGTCTCATTGAGACTCATCCGGTTACCAAACAGAAACAATTGATTGTATCTTGTGTAAGAACCATATTTTAGGGTAGTCCTTAATAACGAAAAAGTAAAATGTCAACACAACCCCTATTTGATAAATGGGGCAAGCTGACTGGTCAAGTATGCGCGATTCTGCACATATGGGTGCAAGGGTCTTAAGGGATCGTGTTAAGGCAGTTAAGTTGCGTACGTGCTCTGGTCACGATCGTATAAGGGATGCTAAGTAGAGCATCGGACGTATTAGTGAGTTTGGTGTAATAGCCCTTTAATGTCAGTGTCTCCCACGCGTTGGTGGTGAGTGTCTCCCACGTGTAGGTGGTGAGTGTGCAGGCCATCGTGCTGGTCGTGCTTTGTTGTTGGGCTTAGGTAAAACCCCTCGCAGATATCCGGATATATTCCTAGGCTTTTAGAAGTGCATTATGTGCATGTGCCTATGACGCGGTCCCGCGGGTAGCTTCCGTCGATTATACCGCTGAGTGATCTACTCGCTCGAGTAGATCATGGTGTCGACCCAATACGAAACATAAAGGCCTCATTATTAACAAAAAGAGTTCGGGGGTGAGCTTGATCTGGATGCCGTTCCCAGGTAGGGCAATGAGTGACATAGATCGACGTTACTGATTTATTGACCGAGGGTCCTGATCAGAGGGCCGAGGCGGGATGTGTATCCTAAATAATACACGTGCGCGCGGCGTAACCCTTTCCCAAATAGGTATGAGCTCCATCTTAACCCTTCAGGAAGTCATCCTCAACGACGCATTCAACCCCAATCGCTAACCGGAGTGTTCGGATATCCAGGAGAGCTTAGGGCCAGCTCGGAGCTAACGCCCTCCGGTGATTGACTTAATTAATTAGCGAGGATCGGGGTTAAGCAGTCGCGATATTTGTTTACATGACCCTTGAGCGCGGAAGACGACCAGTCAGACTGAATGCTGCCATGCCAACCCCTTATTACGCGTAGATTACAGAGGGACGTTTTGTAACGGTTTCACTTAATTTTATGTAAAAGTTAAATATTTTTGCCGCTTTAATTCAAATTTATTACCAAAAGGATAAACAAAGTCAAGGTAACAGGATGATGAGGGTCATCTCTGATAGCAAAAGGTGACCAGCCATTTGCAATTAGATTTTTGAATGGTCAAGTTATTCAGCTGAATGCATCTTAAGATTCTTAATTAAATAATTCTAAAGAAGAGCAAAATAATAAAGTTAATTAAATAATTTGTTATAATACGTGAGTATTTTCTTTATGTAATGACGTATTCATATTTAATTATAATTTTCAGATCTATATGATAGGCGCCTCATGGCTACCCTAAATTAATTATTTAATCTTATTCTATATATTTGGAACCCAGTTCATCCTGGTAATGCATTAAATTAATCTGTAGCTGCTTGGAGCTAATTTTTAATATTTCAGGGTTCTTTTAAGTAATTATATAATTTCTATCGAAATATTAGAGTTGCCCTAGAATTGGCACTCGTAAGGAAATCAACATCTAACGTAGCAGTCAAAATAAATCTATCCTATTCCAACTCCAGCAGCAGCTCCAGTCGTCAAGGTCTTCAACCGTCTTCCGAAGTAAACCGTCTAGAAAAAGGTCAGACTGTATCGTACACTTACAATCATATACAAACATAACACCATAAAATTGTACTTACCAATAAGGTATCCGAATTCTGTAAGAGATCTCCGCGACAGGTCACACCTCCATCTCACACGATCAGTCGGACAACTAAAATCAAATATTGAGATATTAACGTTTGATAATTTTGAATAAAATTAAACTTACCCTCACGTTGTTCATAATTTAATGGTCAAATTACCAGAACGGGCTAGTTAACGTCACGACCCTGAGAGTACCTTCCGCGCATAGCCCTGGCGCCCTTATATCATTCATGCTCTACCATCAGCCGAGCGCAACAGGGTATCGGTTCAAATGTATCCGCCATTACATTAAGACAACAAAACCGTTTTCACTTACCCGGTAACAGTTTCTAATGAAAGGTGAGTTTACAGTAGATTTGTCGCATCTTAATAATGAGTTCTGACCAACAATTAGCTCCAATTTAATTAGCGATTTCCCTTGTTGCAATATAAAAATACCCCCCATTACACTTGTATCACTAGTAACGAAGATATGTTGCAGAACGAAGTTTTAAAACAGGTAGGTACTCACAACGTGAAGTCGTGAAGACCTAGGCGCATCTGTCGCATAGTGATGAAACATAATATGAAACATTATCACATTCACTTACTTTGCAAAATACGTGTAAAATATGCTTCGAAGGTTCGATAAGTACGAGGATAAGTACGTCTAAAAAATACGTGTTAATCAATGGTTATTAGGGCGACACCGCGACACCCTATGAGCCTTTATAACTTGTTACCATTTATTCGGCGTTCTTAATTTTCCGTTAATTATCACATACGTAATACATAAAATTTTGTAATTCAGTCGTAAATATGCGTGTTCATAATTTCCTTATAAAAACGCGCCTTATAGGGCCCCTTCACGTGCATTCCCGGAACGACGCTCCGTAAGTTTTGGAGTGACGTCAATCCAAAACTGTGCGTGTAGTTCAAGGACGTTAGTATTTTTAACGTCCTTGGTGTAGTTCATCCTCGCGCCATGAATGATACGCGCCTGGCGTGGAGCGATGGAATCAAACATGTTTGAATTCCTGGCGTGGCGCGAGGCCTCCGCGCGCCAAATGCGAGCGTGTAGTTTCGTTTCGCGCCTTCCCTTCGCGCCGTTAGAAGAGGATGCGCTGTTAAACATTGGAGAGGAAAAAGGATAGACTACATTAGCAAAAGTCCTGTAGGTTTGTTTGTGTGTGCTGTGCGGTGTGACATTAATTGTGGTAATCCTCTGGATTGGTATTATTAATTTCTTGTAATAAAATCAAATTTCTGTCTCTTCAAATACCATGGCTTGGACCTCTTCCTCCTCTTCTAGGGCTGTTCATTTACGTTATCCATCATACATTTGTGAAGAATTACAGCTGCAATTTTTTTTTTACCAAACTCATCTTGCTGTCGACAGTACCACTCTGGAATGAATGAAATGGCGCGAACGTGTAGTTTATTCACTGCACAACGCGCCAGAAGTTGGCGCCCCACGCTTCGTTCCAAAACCGATGGCGCGTCGTTCCGGGAATGCACGTGAAGGGGCCCCATTAGGTTACATATTTCGGTAGATGAATTTTTCAGATGAAAAAAAATGATAAAATATATACTTGCTCATAGAAATATTGTGAATAGTAGATACTTTATAATTTGTACTCCTATGTTTGGTAGGTAGGGTAGAATAAGGTAGTCTTCAGCGTGCGAGTTAAATAAGTCAATGGTCAATTTATTTAAAAAAAAGTGTTGCTTTTTCGTAGTTGGGAGTGCAATAGTGAGCTGAGAGCCACTTTGAAGGAAAACTTTGTTGTGCTTGCTTTATAATAAAAATATCTCTTTACGCGCTACCAACTACATCATTTAATTCATCATATATTATTGTTTTAGTTTGTATGCCCCTTCTGTAATACTTGACTATTTTTAAATTTAAAACACATTTTCAGATCAATTGGAAATAAATTATTATTATCCTCATGGCTTATGGGCAATGTTATAGTCAAGATTTTTTGCGAATTTGTAAATTGGTATAGGTAAATCTAGCAGACATGAGACTACAACAAGTAGGTAATGAGAACCGAATTCAACACATAATTAATGGGAAGATTACGGATGCGAGTATAGCAACACCAAAAACTTACCTGAAATACATTCAGCATCAGCATCTTCATCCTTTATTCGTGCACATGCATTTCCGGAGGGCATCTCGGCATTAAAGCTTACAGGCTTTCATCATAACTCACTTTTCAAGATCTTCGTAAACTTGATTACATTTTATTACTGCAATCATGATTTTTTGTTCTTATTTGCTGACGAGGATTAAGTTTACGATGTTACGCACTCATATTTTATGTTTTCGGGCGTAAAACGTGCTAATTAAGAAAACGACATCTTTATTGTGTTATTATTTTTATTCTAATAAAGTTCTTTTTATTGAACGGAATAAGAAAACTGAAAGATTTATTACATTTGTCATTTTCAAAGAAGCGGATGGACCTTGAATTAATAGACAATAATTAATTAAGTAAGTATCTACTACTTTTTTCCTGACATTTCAGTGTGTAAACAAAGTTGTTTTAACACGGCAGGCCGAATGCTATTAAAGATTTAAATCACAACTAATTTACAAAATTTGATTTTTATTTAACTTTTTGTTATGCAATGCAAAATCAATGTAAATTAGAAAATATGTCAACTAAAATAATACACGGTATATCACCAAAATCTATCACAAAGCACTGAACGAAACAATTTTATCACCACTGACTGACTTTCTCTACACTACAAACCACCAAAAAAACGTGGATTTTACGTAAAGTAAGTGCACGGTCACCGTAATAAAACCGTATGCAGTTACTAATGCAGTTCTCCGTTGCGTTTCTTCACAGTGCATTGGAGTGGGAATACTCGTACATACGATCATATACATTTTATTTTTTAGGTATTTAGAGGACGATGACACTACGTAACTCTGCTATAATTTTTAATAAACCAAAGCAAATTAAGGTCAACATGATGCGGTCATTCGGGCCGTAAGCGGATAATTTACTTTTCTCCTGTCCCAATTTTTTTTTAGAATTCTGGTTACTCTCATCAATTGATGGAAGCCAAATAAGAGCAAACGATACCTAACTGCCACTCTTTGCAAGTACTTACTTCGACGACAATCAGCCCAGAAATAGAACATTAGTACGTACTACCATGTACTACGTAGGTACCAGATGGACTAGCCAGAATCAGTTTGAATTTGGTGGTTCAAAGTACCGATATACGACGACCACCACACAAACTTTTAGTTATGAATCCCTACAAGTTTTTTTTTATTAGAAAGTATGGGGATTTCGGATAGTATAAGAAATATTAGTTAGGTTAATATGAAGGAAGATTTGAAGATTTTTAGCGCATTTCCACAAAAATAAAAAAAATGGGCTATTGTGGCCACTTTGTCCGTCCGTCCGTCCGCTCGTTCGTTGAGACGCAACTGGTTCTTTATCTTAAGAGCTATTGTTCTACTTTTTTCGCTATTTGGTTCGTTATGGTGTCGAGGCTTGCACCTAGGAAGGAATTTTTTCTGTACCGCTTACAAAAAAAGTTATTGTAAAAAAAACAAAAACCGTTTTTTACATGTTCCATAATTTTACACTTTTGTCGTTTATTAACGATCCTAGAGATCGTTTATAATTTTGTATTGCTATCTGTCGTCTGTCTGTTGGTCTGTCCGTCTGTTCCTTTGTCTGTCTGTCCCTCTATCTGTCCGTGTGAACGATAATTTTGTTTAGAAATGTTCGATCGCTTTTAGATCTCCGTTAGTTATGAACTGAATTGCATGAAATTCAATATGGGCGTACAATAGCCATACAATACGCAATGCCAAAAGTTGAGTCGAATCGATTCAAAAAGCATTGAAATGAAATTCTTCTTATAAACAGAAATTGAAGTAGCACGTCAAAAATGGATGTGCAATCCAGTTTGCAACGCTATCTTTCATATTTGTGGCCGGATTTTTACGATTTTAACAGAAGTTGCAACTTACAAATGGGAAATTAATGTAAGTGGAAATGCGCTTTTTCTAAATCGTTTACGATTACATTTTAACTTGTTTTGATTTGTTTAGTTATTGTTTGTTTTAATGTACTTCTACGATACCACGCATAATTTTAGTAATTTTTTAGTGCATTTTTTAAGAACTAAAAAAAATGTGCTATTGTTTGCGTTTTGTCCGTCCGTCCGGGCCCACTTCTACCGTTTTGAACTACTTCTAGGGGAATGGTCCTAGAGTCCTGGAATTTTTGCAGTAGGTAGCCTATACCTTGAAGGTGTGCCAGACGGCCATCAAATTTCGCTGTCTAAAAGGGGGGGCGTCCCACGAATTATTTCTTGAGATGCTGTTTTTGAAAGTAAAACGTGCAAACTTTTACATACGACAACCAATTGTCCTCAGATTTTGCATACGCACGCCTTTGGAAATTTGAGGGGGGGGGGGTATTCTAATGAAAGGTCTCATCGAAATAAATTGGTTTGTACAAACTATAACTTTCCCGTGCGACTCTTTTTCGAGATCAGTGAGCGACGGGGCCAGAGCTGGGGCGGGAGGGGTTGAAAATTAATTTTATCTTTCATTGTATTCTAATTAAAGGTCTGAATGAAAGGAACAGTTTTGTACAAACTACTGCCCTTCTTTGTGTGCTCTTATCCAAGTACGGGGTGGAGGGGGAAGGGCGAGGGGAAGGGGAGGGGGGAGTGGAAATAGTTTTATCCTTCACAGTACTTTAATGAAAGGTCTCAACGAAAGGAATTAATTTATACTAACCATAGTCTTCCTCCTCGATTGGGCATTTAAATAAAATTTTATACATAGCTACTTGGAATAAAACCAAATTTAACGCCAGTTTCAACATTTCGTTTTGCGCATGCGCAGTGCCAACTTTCTTATTTATGGAGGGATTTAAATGGAATTTGATACATAACCACTTGGAATACAAGCAAATGTAGCGCTATTTTCCAACTTTGGTTTAGTATAGGATGTGCAGTGCCAACTTTCTTATTTATGGAAGAAATTTCGTAGGGGTGTTTAAAAAATGCGCTTTATCTGCAGAATTTGTACTTGTTTATGTTTATGTGAAAGGTTATTGTAACTTAAATTAAATTACATTGGTCGTTTATTTATTTACAGTTAACTAACAATAAATTTATCAGTTTTAAAATGAATTAATTTATAACAATAATTATTATTTATCACTAACACTTTATAACATAACGCAAGCGCATCGACGTTAACTAGAAACGCAATTCGATTTGCTTATATAGCAAACGGCAATTGTTCTTAGAACGCTTCGGAATGTTCTAGAATCAACACGTCCTTTTTCTCTGAAGGATTGCGTCACATTCGCCTTCGTTCTTTATGGCCCATAACTCGACTTTCATGGCGCCTCGCTCATCGCTGTCTATCGAGATTGCTACACTATGGGTGGTTCGTCTTGTTTAATCGAATTTTGGTCATTATTTGAATTAAAGCATTTAAGGCATATAGAATTCCACTTTCTGTTTAGCCTACCCTATCCGTCATATCTCACCCTATCCGATTTATTACTCGTATCTCATCGGAGTGGGAGTCTCTGAATCGTATACGGGTGCGTATGGTGCTTTTATGCTGGTAACTGCTTTAAGTAACTCTACATA